GAGGGGTCTGAGGTACGAAGCCGACTCTCCCTCCGGCATTGGGGGTGGTGGCATTCAAGGCCGTGCTGTTTCTCTTGCGCTTGGCAGACGCCATCATCTCATCGGCGTCCGATTGCAGAAGTTGCTTGGCTTGATTGAGCACGGACGGGGGGGACGGAGGAGAACTCGAAGAGATCTCAATGGTGTCTACTGTTCATTGGGGGGAAATCATGTCAGTCAGGTTTCAGTTTGGGGGGGTTAAGGCTTTTTTTTCTCTCTTTTGTATTGAGCTACTGAGTAACAGTGACGGAGCGCGTGAGGTGTTATGCACATGTTGAATCGATCCAGTCCATTCAAGAGCAGGTACATACCCTCGTTGAGCCCGTTTGTAGTCTCAGGCGCAGGCTGGGAAGATGAGAGACCCATCGTTTGTTTTTATAGATAGAAGGGAGAGACACTGACTGGAGGGGAAGGGAGCACGGAAAAAAAGCTAACCAGTTGGCAATTTGTGACGAAAGCTTTAACTGAAGCTTCGAAAGGGGTCTTGAAGGGCGGTGAATGAGATCAGACAATTAACAACAGGGATGAAGGAGGGGCAAGGGGAACAGGCATATTAGAGTAGTTAAGAGAGGTGGGTGTCAATGATTTTCTCCCAAGAATGGAAGGGAAATTTCCGGAGGTGAAGTTTTTTATTTTTTTTTTTCACTCTCTCCTCCAGCAGCGAGCGAGGTGGGCGGGCGCCAATTTTTTACGCGGTCCGCTTCTTCACCACCATTTTTTCGCGCTTTACTTCTGCTCTGGCGGTCAACCCATGCCTTCAATCCATTCCCGCACCGCAGTGGGATACCACCATTGGATATCACTGTTTACTGTAATGTACCACAAGCGGTAGAAAATGATAATTAAAGAGTAATAGGAAATTAGGAAAATAGGATGTCATCAAATCTATCGTAACACAGACATATAACCCAGTAACCCAGAGATTCTAGTTTACACTTCAATCTTCAGCTCGCGCAACACCCTCGACACCAACTTCTTCTGGTCTGCGGGATTTAAGTCATGCTCATCGATCGTAGTCAAGCATCGGCCAATTGCTACCGTCGCCTTGACAGCAACATCCCCGGAGTTGGAGCAGTCCACCCACACCTTGCCATTCCTGCCAATGGCGATCTCGAACCCGCCGGCCTTCTCGAGCTTCTTGCCCAGTTCATCCAGCACCACCAACCCGGCCACCCCCTCCTGCTGCTCGTCCGTCGACGAGCTCGCCCGCATCAACCGAGCCGCCATCCCCGTGGAAATATCAAACACCATCCCGCCGTTCAGGGGCCCTAGACCGCCGGGTTCCGCTCTGCCCGTCGCCGGATTCACGCAGGCCAGCTCGACCTCCGCCCCCGCGCCGAGCCCAACGGACAGCACCCGCGCGTACACCAGATCGCCCTGCTTCAGCATGGGCCGGGTCTTCTTCGTGGCGCCCTCGAACGAGAGCTGCCCCAGAACCGCATGGGGCGCCTGCGGCGTGATCATGCAGTGGAAGTAGTCGGGGCTGGAGTGGTGGATCTGCGCTATCACCAGATCGTTGGCCGTGGGCACGTACCGGCGGCGCGGCGAGGAGAGGATTGATACGGCGTTGCGCTTGTTGTCTGTGGAGAGAATTCCGGCCTGCGTGGCGGTCAGGACATGGCTGGGGGAGGAGGTTGAGTTGTTGCTCGTGGTCGGTCGGTGCGCTTGCGAGAGCAAACGGAGGCCGGCGCCCAGCCTCAACGGTGCGGAGCTGGTGGAGGGGAGGTACTCGGATGGGATCTCATCGCCGGGCAGGAGAACTAGTGGTGAAGACATGATGCGTATATGTTTGCCTCGCAGGTCAATGCAGCTGCGGGGTGGAGATGGAGGAGTATTATGATGAAAGAAGTTTGGCTGATCGCATGCAAAGGAAAAAGGAAGCGCAAATCGCCCCGTGAGCTTATCGTCTGCAGTGTTTATCTTCACGTGATACGGCGTATCTCCCTCCAGTCTGGGCAAGGCTGCTATGCAACTAACCGATGAATTGACTTCGGGTGTTAGAATCTCGAGCTATGAATCTTGAAAGTGTTCTAGCCTATTTTATTGACTTCGAATCTTGAAAGTTAACTCAATACCAGCCTTGGGCTTATGTTGATCCTCTCTGAGAGTGAAAGTGGCGGTCGCACCGCCACATCTATTATCGATAAGCACTAGCCACATCTGCCCGCCAATTGCAAACGAGCCAAAATTTTTTTCCTCGGGGCGAAGGAAAGCGCGGCGGGAACAGCCTCAATAATTGTTCCCTCTTCTTCCTCCGTCCTCTCTTTCTCCCATTTCCGTTTTCCCTTGGGATCGTTGCTCATTTTCCTTTCTCTTGTTTCCCTTCCCCATTTCTCACACACATATCACAAGATGAGCTCCGAAACTAACGGCGCTGCCGAGAGATTCGCCATTGGTATCTCCTTTGGCAACTCTTCCAGCTCTATTGCCCGCCTCAACCCTGTACGTACCTGTCTTCGAACTATCTGACATTTCATCTATTCAACAAATTAAACAATGCACACGCGTGCAGTTCAATCGAGAGTCATGCTAATATCATTGTCATGTAGGAGGGCAAGGCTGAGGTTATTGCCAACGAGGAGGGAGGTCAGTTTCAACTCCACCCATTTTCGCTCACCAGTCCCGGTGGCGCATTGCTCCCAAAGACTGTGAACTTACCAGCATATAGACCGTCAAATCCCTACCGTTCTTTCCTACATTGAAGGCGAGGAGTACCACGGTGCTCAGGCCAAGAACCAGCTTATCCGCAACTCTCAGAACACTGTTGCATACTTCAGAGACTACCTTGGCAAGGAGTAATTGCTCCCACTTCCCATTCGAAGGAGATCGAAATGTTGACAAGGATTCTAGCTTCAAGTCGATAGACGCTACTCCCTGCCACAACTCCGCCCACCCCCAGCAGCACGATGACACTGTTGCTTTCTCGATCCGCGATACCACCAGCGAGACCCCCAGCACTGTTACCGTCTCCGAGATTGCCACCCGTCATCTGCGCCGTCTTAAGCAGTCCGCCTCCGATTATCTCGGTAAGGAGGTCAACGCTGCCGTCATCACCGTTCCCACCGACTTCAATGATGCCCAGCGTGAGGCCTTGATCGCCTCTGCCAACGCTGCTGGTCTTGAGGTTCTCCAGCTCATCCACGAGCCCGTTGCTGCTGCTCTGGCCTACGATGCTCGCCCCGAGGCTGTCGTGACTGACAAGCTTACCGTTGTCGCCGATCTTGGTGGCACTCGCTCCGATGCTACCGTCATTGCTTGCCGTGGCGGTATGTACACCATCTTGGCCACTGCCCACGACTACGAGCTGGGTGGTGCCACCTTGGACAAGATCGTCATCGACCACTTCGCCAAGGAGTTCATCAAGAAGCACAAGACCGACCCCCGCGAGAACGCTCGTGGCTTGGCCAAGCTCAAGCTTGAGGGTGAGGCTACCAAGCGCGCTTTGAGTCTGGGTACCAACGCTACCCTGAGCATCGAGAGTCTTGCTGATGGAATCGACTATGGTTCCACCATCAACCGCACTCGTTATGAGCTCCTCTCCGGCAAGGTCTTCGCTCAGTTCACTGCCCTGATCGAGCAGGTCGTCAAGAAGGCTGGCCTGGACGTTCTGGACATTGATGAGGTTTGTGGATCCGCCCTCTTGAAACCAGCTCAATCCATCTAATTTTGATAATTTAGGTCATCTTCGCTGGTGGTACTTCCCACACCCCCAAGATTGCCCAGTTGGCCCGCAACATCTTCTCCGAGAAGACCACCATTCTCGCTCCTTCCACCTTCACCGCTGCCATCAACCCCTCTGAGCTTGCTCCCCGCGGTGCTGCCATCCAGGCTTCCCTCATCCAGGAGTTCGACAAGGAGGACATTGAGCAGTCGATCCACCCCATGGTCACTGCCACTCCCCACCTCCAGAACGCCATCGGTGTTGAGGTCACCTCCGGCGATGCCGTTGACTTCCAGGCCCTCCTCCACGTCGAGACTGCTCTCCCCGCTCGCCGTACCGCTCAGTTCTCTGCTCCCAAGGAGGGAGGTGACGTTCTGATCCGCGTCTGCGAGGGTGTCCGCGAGATCAAGGTCACCAAGCCCGAGCCCAAGCCCAAGGAAGAGAAGGCTGAGGCTGACGAGGATGACTCCGACTTCTCCGACTCCGATGAGGAGGAGGAGGAGATCCGTGAGATCGTCTGGAAGACGGAGAAGCCCATTGCCGAGCTCGCCGTCAAGGGCGTCAAGGCCGGCAGCAAGGTTGAGCTCATGATCCACGTCGATGCCGACCTTGGCCTGCAGATCACCGCTCGGGAGGTCGGCGGCCAAAGCGCCGTCCGCGGTGCTGTCGAGGCTCCCAAGGCCTAGATTACCCGCCTCTGAGTTATGAATCTGCTACCAAAATATTTATGTTGCATCTTTTGCATGAATCGATTTAGAATCTCACTTGCTTGGTTTCTACTGCCGGATATTACCCAACTTCCTTTTTTCCTGGTTTCTCTTCCGCAGAAGCTTACGAACCACGTCTCAAGACATCATTCAGTTTTCAATCGGAAAGAGGCACCTAATTCTGTGTTCTGCTTGGCCATGACTTTTTGACGACAAATGTATTCATGAAGGCTTCTGAAAAGTATATATAGAGAACTGCAATGACGCGGAATAGAGAATGATAGATTTTGCGGATACTTCTCTTGTCTTGCGTATTACCATCTTTACAATTTGTAGTAGTCTATAATTATGCTCCTGAGTCTTTGAGTACTTTTTCTTCAAACGAGCTATATTACAATTACTAAATGTAAATACAGTGTAACAACAGTAAGCGAACAAGGCATACAGGGTACACAGTACAGGTCGGCAAACAAAGTAACAACCGACTAAAGCTCAAGCAGATCCCCAACAGGATAGATTAAGATTAACGAGCCACCAGATCATGAACGATGGTATACAGTCAGAACAGTAGAATGTGCGTGGGTGTGCAGCACAACATAGCATCAGGGAATAAGACATCAACGAAATTCATATAGGCTGCGGAATAGGCGTGAGACTATTCAGAAGGGAGGGTGGGTATAAGCATTATCAAACGGAGCTTCCTCAGCCACGGTGGTTAACCCCACCCTCTCCAGCGAGGTATGTAGATCGATCGGGAGTCAGAAACAGTAAACCTCTCTCTTTGCACCTGATCGATGAACAAACGCCGTGCCCGTTACTTTCTTCGTCTCGTACGGACAACAGCAACAACCAAAGACCAGTGCGAATTGGGAAGTCTCTTTCTTTCTCTGTGGGAGTTTAAACCGTAGCAGTAGTCTCCTTGTTACTCCTCAAGCTGTTGGAGCGAGCGGACGAGAAGAACCCCTTCCGGCGGTGCTCGCGGCCGCTGTAGCCCCGGCCCCGGTCCTTGCGGCCCGTCGCGCCGCCCATGCAGTAGGCCAGGCAGGCGAGGAAGAGACAGGCGACCGCGGTCCACATGAAGGCGAAGGCCTTGACTCCCAGCCGGGCGGTTTGGTTGTTGGCGTTGAACTTGTTCCGGCCCTGGACGTAGACGGCACTGCGGGTTTAATCGTTAATTTCCGTTGATTTCTAGGGTTCTGGTTTGCCAGAAGTGTTTGGTTTGGTCTGGCCTGGTTGGCAGGGCAGAACTTACGTGATCAGGCAGGTGGAGATGATCTGGAAGATCAGGGCGATCCAGGCCATCAGCGAGGACAGGTAGCTGCCGATGCGCGTGCACATGGCCAGGAAGCCGGTGAGGAGGGAGATGACGCCGAAGAAGAGGGCGATCAGGAGGAAGGGGAAGGAGAACCGCGAGGTGAGGAAGTAGTGGTTCGTTCTGGAGATGGGAATCAGTTGTGGTTCTAAGTACAGAAGCGGGGTGAAGTCAAGTGACTTACCCGATGAAGGCAGCGGGGATGTTGGTGGTGGTGTCGAAGTTACGAGAGCTGGGGGGGTCGAAGGGGTAGTCCGGGTGAGACGAGCCGCATTGGCTCTTGCCATTGACCACCGCGCATAGCTGCCAGAACGTCCAGCGAGACAGCGAGGGTGCCCCCGGGATGTTGCTTGTGTCGACCTGCAGGAAGTAGATCTCGTTCAAGGGTCGGGTGTTGGTCGCGCCGCCCAGGAGAGTCAGGAACATGAGCAGGAGGGCTCCCGCTGTGAAGAAGAGGCCGAGAAAGCCCAATGCCACTCCTGGAGGATAGGGACGCGGAATGTTAGCCCATGCGCTATAGTATAGAAGTGGATCATAGGGCTGGGAAGGTAGGTGGGTGGGCTTACTGCTGAGCACCATCGTGATACTGTGTATGATTTTCTTTTTTTCTTATGCGCCTTCGGGCTTGGGTCCGGGATGGTGAGTTCTTTTCCTAGGCTCTGATATGCAACGGTATGCGCTTGATGGTATACCTGAGTGATTTATGGGCTTGGAGGACTGATGGGAGGAGATGAAGCGTAGGGAGGAAGAAATGGGGGAAGTATAAGGGAGAGAGGGTCAGTCAGGGTCTGAAGAGAAGAGTTCTGGTATTATAATATCCGAAGTGTCCGGGGGAGGGTCGACCCAGGGGGTAGTGATATAATCATGAGGATGCATCATCATCGGGGGTGGTTCATTCGCAGGCACTGATGAAAAGTCCTTTCAGTCTCACAGCCATAGTTTAGTTCATTTCATTCGAGTAGAAACGGAAGAGTGACGGTACTATCGACGTCATCGTTGCAGCAGGCCCCGCTAACTGGCCTCGGCTAGTCTAAACTCTAGTGCTGCACTAGTCCAGATCGGGTAGTCTAGACTTCACCTCTTCGGTCCTTCATGACGTTCGATGCTCTCTCGATCGTCGAGCTTGAGTGCTGCAACTTCACCTCTACAACCACCCACAGAACAGAAACGTGAACGTTGCACCACCCACCCCCAATTGAGTTGGGTACCCGACTCCTCTCGACGTGGATCGTCTGGCAAGCTAGTGCGGAAATTTTCTTCTGTCTACTACGTACTGCATCATCGTCCCTTTCGAGGCCCAGAGTTGAATTCTGCTGCCTGACCCTCTCTACTCATACTATCCCCCCACCCCCTAGTTCATATCGAAAGACTGCGTCTACGCCATATGCCACTCCTAGAACCCTAAGCACATCCGATCCTCCGGAAACCTAGGCCCCTAGAACATTTGTGGAATTTTAGCTGTCAGACGGATCACACTATGGCCACTTGGGCTTACCCACCCCTTCCCCCAGCACGCCTGGAACAGGAAGTGGAATCCACGTTGGTATGCCCCTACCCGGTGCTTATCTTAACTTACCACTATACGACATAAAGAGCTTGGTCCAACTCATTGATTGCTTACCCATTGACCTGCACAATAGGCCAAGGAACTAGAGTGGCTATTACGCTCCCTGCAAGATTCACTCGTCTCGCTTAGGGAAGGTTTGCATGATTGTGCTGCTTTGCTGGCTCCCAAAGAGCCGGGCTCAACCTTAGTGCTGTCGTCCCTTCGGTCCGAAAATGTGAAAGGCTACGTAACCCGGGTTGGGACGCAAATCGTCAAAGGTGTATGTCATCTTTCCCAATTTTCGGTTCTTCTTCGATGGTTGATGTGATAACTTTATTTTTTCTGCCCATCGATCGACACCCCTGCATCATCATCATCACCACCACCATCACACCTTGCTTGCTGCAATCTACATGCACCCTCGGGAATTAAAATTTACTGATCGTGCCTGACATGATAGGATATTCAACTTCGTCTAAGTTCTCTAGCCTCAGCACGCGGGTCAGCCAACACCCGCTTATGCCTGTCCAATGCCTCTGAGGCTCCGGAGCTTGTGCTTGATCAGCTGGTCTCCGTAAAGAATCTGGTCAACCAGAGCTTGGACATTGTAGATGTTAGTACATGGACGGGCGACCCACTCAACGCTGGCTTCATCTTCAGTCAGTTGCATCTCCTGCGTGAGACCATCACCGAGGCACGGCAGATGCTCAAGGGTGAGAGCGACAAGGTCAAACAGAAATGGTGGGAGGCTAGTGCGGCAGAGAACGTGAGTGATGATTGTTTTGCGCTTCACTGGAGTTGAGGACTGATGTAGACCTCTGAAGATGTTTGACCCTCCGCTGCCACCCTGTCTTTCTTTCCATCTCACTATTGCTGATTCCGCGCTGGTCTTACACCTGCGAACTCTGGAATCCAGCACACCAACCCATACGCCCACAGCGTTCGCCTCTGACATCTCGCTCACCGGGTTCAACATCAGGGACCGGCTCTTTGGCACCCGTCATCGGCCTCATGACGAAGCCGGCGATGTCTTCACCTGGAAGGGAGACGAAGTAAAGGTGAAAGAAAAAGTCCGCGTAGAAAGTCAGGACCCGAGCTTGATGGCCGTCATGGCCAAGTTGACTGCCCTGGAGCACGAGGTCCAGAAATGGATCTCGGCTCTGAAGGTGCTTATGGGTAACGAAGATACAGATAGTGACTCCTAGTTTTACAGTTGTGTAAGCAAGAATTAATCATTTCCGTCTATATCTTGCCACCTTACAGGGCCTTACAGGGCTTCGAGTTGTTACAGGTGCTCCGGTCTAGATGGCTTACGTAAGGAAGATCCCTTTGCCATCTGCCAATCAGAGATAAGCAATTTGCAGCGTCTTGGCACAAGTTTTCCGAGCTACAAAGTTGCAGGCAGGGTGGCAAGCCAACAAATTTCTGCGCAGGTACATCCTTCTGTACTTCACTTTCCAACGTTGCGGATAGAGTCGCGGACTGGTGAGGATGCTGTCCAGATCTCCGGCGACACGGGCGACGCCTCAGGGGCTGCTGCGCGCTGCAGTCAACAGAACGTCGCAGTTCAGCACGCAACAACTCCGCCGCGGAGCGGCAAGCTTCGTGAACGGGCGGTCCCGGACTACGACCACAAGGAGAAGTCTCTCTTCGACCTCGAATACCAATAAGCTCCCGCGAGCATCGACAGAAGTTCGACCTGGACAGTGGACGATTGGGTCGAGGTACTCTTCCTCCTCTGCAACGCCCGCCGTGCCGGATGCTACACATGCGGAGCGGAAGGATGCCGTCTACGCCCTGATCGATGAGATCAACCAAAATGAAGCCGCCATGGCCGATATCATGGAGGAACTGGACTTGCTCGACGACTTCGATCAGGCTCTTAGCCTCGACGGCTTGGAATATGAGCACGCATTCAGTCAGACCATCGGTCACCGAGACCAGGAGACACTGGAGGGACGGGTGCGGATGGCGAGACAGGAGTTTCGGGAATACCTGCCCCCCGATTACTTGAATGCCCGCGAGACCGAATTATACACCAGACTCTACGGTGAACCGATCTACCGCGACCTTGACAGCATTCAACCTGACCTCGAGCTCGCTGAGGGATTGGAAGAAGAACAAGACCCCGCCGCCGATCAACTATACCGTGAAGACGGACAAGGGGGTTGGGAAGAGGTTGAGATGGTTGAGGAAGAACTCGAGCTCGAGCTCGAACCGGAGGAGGATGACGTACCAGTGGTTTACGACATGGAGGCTGGACCGGAGGTGCCGGAAACAGACGCCATGCGGCGCACGCGCGAGATCGCCGAGCAGCTCGGCGGAGAGGTCATGCTCGAGCAGTTCCAGGACGAGGCTGTGCCCGATGGTAACGATAACCCCCGATTCCACCCGACCACTGAGCTGGGCAGATCTGGCACGAATCCCAGCACGGTCTTTTTGCCAAATGACACGTTGGTGAAGCCCATCTCGATGATCCTGTCGGATTTCTCAAATAAGCACCTCCAGGAGACCGCTCGCCGTGTCTTCAAGGGCCAATACCTTCCTTTGTCCGTTACGACTCCCCCCAGATCCGTTCAAGCCCCTCAACTACCGAGCCCTCTGGAGGCTTCGCAGCGTCACATGTCCGAGATGGAATCTAATGCTTACCTTGCGGCCATGTACCCTGGCTTCTATGCGAGTGTGCTGAGTGTCCTGGTTGAGGTACGCAAGCGACTGGGGACAGACTGGCTGCGAGGTTTGATGACCAAGGAAGAAGGCCCGAGTGTGCTTGATGCCAGTGCTGGAGGTGCTGGTATCATTGCGTGGCGGGAGATTATGCGTGCAGAGTGGGAGGTCATGGATCCAGAGCGCCCTTTCTCCGAAATCCCAATCGGCAAGTCGACGGTCGTGGTAGGATCTAATAGTCTTCGTGCTCGCGCTTCTGCATTGCTGCATAACACGACCTTCCTTCCTCGACTTCCTGACTACGTTCACCTTCGCGAAAATGCGACGCTAGACGACGACCGGGCCCCGAAGCGGAAACAGTTCGACATCGTTATCGCCCCGCACTCCATTCACCCGATCGACGAGGAGTATCTGCGAAAGGAGCATGTCAAGAATCTTTGGCAGCTGGTCAATCCCAACGGTGGTATCCTTATTCTGCTTGAGAAGGGCCACCAGCGGGGGTTCGAGGCCATCGCTGGAGCCCGTGATATGCTGCTCAAGCGCGTCATCCGCAACACCGACCTCAAGACCTCCGACGAAGAAATCGCTTCGGAAGAGGATGCGGAGGAGGAACTTGACCTCGACAAGGAACCCGGCATGATCATTGCGCCTTGCACCAACCACGCCCAGTGTCCCATGTACCGTGTTCCCGGCCACACCGTTGGGCGCGGCGACTGGTGCCACTTCAAGCAGCGATACATCCGGCCCCCCTTCCTGCAGCGCATCATCGACGCCAAGACGCACAACCACGAGGACCTGCGATTCAGCTACCTCGCGGTGCAGCGCGGGGTCGATCTCCGCGAAGAGAAGGGCTTCAAGCAGGACCGCGTGGCCAAGTTTCACGCCGCCAAGGGATACGAGCACCTGTTCCCGGACCCGCAGACGCGGGCGGCCATGACCGAGGAGGAGCAGCAGAGGCTGGCGGAGCAGGAGGCGCAGTTCGAGCCGCTGACCCTGCCGCGCATCGTCTACCCGCCGCTGAAGCGCCGCGGCCACGTCACCTTCGACATCTGCACCCCGGATGCGCAGATCGAGCGCTGGACCGTCCCCCGCTCCTTCAGCCGGCAGGCGTACCGGGACGTGCGCAAGTCGCAATGGGGCGACCTGTGGGCGCTGGGGTCGAAGACGCAGATCGAGCGCAAGGTCAAGCTGGGCACGAAACACGGGCTGAGCAAGAAGGACCGCCTGGAAGCGCGCGCCGCGGCCCGCGAGGCGGCCAAGGACGCCCAGGAGGAGGAGGAAGCCGATGCTGCGGCGCAGGATCGCAAACCGGAACTGCTCATTCCCAAGCGCAAGAAGGGAGAGAAGATCCCCAGCTGGAAGAAGCATCAGGATAAGAAAAAGGTGCGCCAACATTACAGTCAGTTGAAGCCTGCGGACTCGTAGGCAGGCGGTCAGAAAAGGGTGTTGTTCAAGATGTTCGGGGTTTTTTGATTGGGATTTTTTTTTTCGTTTCATCATGGTTGGCGGCGTATTGTTCTAAGGAGGATTCTGCTGCCGGGCTGCGGACATTATTTACTACGGGCTCTGGAGCACATTTGGCATAGATTCTGTAAATTTTCATGTATGATATGTGGTTATTGTATGGATATTAGCTATCTTAGTTGAGAGCTCTTCACTCAAAAGGCATTTTCTCCACTTCCATATCTTGGTCATTAGTGTTTTGTTTCGTTTGGCTTCGTTTCCCATTGGACTCGTCTTTGTGTGTGACACTCTGGGTGAAGTGCACGCCTGCAGGCCAGGCGTGAGTCCAGCGTACTGGATTGTTGACTTGGCACCGTCCATCAGGTCTTGTAATTTGTGTCAGGAAATGTTGTGACATCCCCACGACACGAGCAAGACGGATCCGCCGCGGGGGGAGTAGGGAGGCTAGACACCCATTGGACCTTGAATGATACTAGATTGATCAGCCACAAAGTGTCCTGATGGTAACAATTCTGCCACCCCAAACTCGCAACTCAAGCGAGCCCAGGACACGAGTCGAGTCTGTTCATGCCCAGCCCCGCGGACCGAATTTGCTCGAGAGATTCAGGCATAACCCGCTTCCTTCCACCCCTTCATTTCTGTTTCCCCGAAAAGATCATCTCCGCCAGCCCGCGAACTTCACTGGAAAGCCATACTCTTCCGCAGCTGCCGTTCCCGCTGCTTCCCCTGCAACTCCAGTCGCTCCACCGCGTACTGCAGACGCTCTTTCTTCTGAATCAGTCGCCGGAGCTCGGCCGCCTTGGCCGCCTTGCTGGCTGCCGCCGCCGCCGCCGCAGCACCGGCTCTGGGTTTGGGGTTGGGTTTGTTGGCCAGCTGTCGCTTCTGCTGCTGCCGCTCCTCGTTAGAGTACAGCCGCCCCTGCTGCAGGTCGCACTTCGCGCGGAGCCCCTGCTCGCGCCGCGAGAGCTTCTCGACGTGGTTGGTGGCGAGTTCGAGGAGGTGGGCGATGCTGGGGGTGATTTCGTCGAGGAGGGATTGCTGCGCTTCGCGGAGGGTGGGTTCGGGGAGGAGTTCGAAGTGCTGGCCTCCAAGTTAGTGGTTTGATGGGGTTTGTTTTGGGGACAGGTGGTGCGATACGTACTCGGGTGGTTTGGAGGACCTTGGAGAGGCGGGGAAAGTCGCTGACTCCGGCGTCGAGGGTGGAGATGGAGGAGTCGAGAAGTTGGAGGGAGGATTGCAGGGAGGAGACGGAGAGTTGGAGGTGTTCTGCCATGTTTTGTGACTGATTCTTGGGTGATTGTATGATCAATGTGCAGATGCAGATATAGTGTCTGGATGTTGTTATCGATTGTAGTGCCGTGCCGGGGCACTGTTTACATTGTCGGGAGTCCGGAGCGGAGGGGACAAAAGCGGCGGGGAAACTATCCCCCTTTGGGTCTCGGACCTCCGGACAAACCTCGTTGCATCCGCAACCTCCCTCGTTCCGCCTCGCTCTCCTTCTACCTCACCAGCTGCTGCTTCTTCCCTATCCTCTCTCTCCACATCCAGCACCTCGCTTCCACACAACTTGCTTCACCATGTCTCTCCTCGGAAAGAAGTTCCCCACCCCCGTTGGTGAGTTTCTGCTCGATCCCGAGTGCTCTTGCCCGGGGTGTTCCCCCATCGTGGTGGCATGAGTAGTAAAGAATGGAATTGAAACTGACTTGGGATGCATTTATAGCCGGTCCCCTCGGCCCCTTCTTCGCTGCCGGTATGCATTTATAACCTATTCTTTCAACTTGCAACGCTGCTTCCTTCGGCGCAGAGCCGAAATGACGCGACGAAATGTGATGGGTCCCAGATTTAACATGCAATCACTTACAGGTCTCGTCGTCCTCTATGGCGTCAACTCCCTTCAGAACGCCCTGATGAACAGTAAGTTGCTTTCCGGGCCGCGCCTCACACCGTCTTTCTTCCTCTGTGATCTACCGAGGGGAGAGGAAAACTTCGCCGACGCGATAGCTTCTCTCGCACACATCGACCCGACCCAATAACTAATTCGATCCTTTTGCTCTACAGCCGCCGAGTTCAAGAACGACCCCCGCAACCCCAACGCCAAGGCCACCAAGCACTAGACGTTTTGTTATCTTTCTGGAGAGACAAAGCTGATATGGCGGACGTCATCAAGGGTTGATTTGAGCGCGGGCATGATTCCGTTATTGGTGTCGAGTTTGCATGCCACTTTTTTCACGCCCTGTACAAGCATATAGAAGAGATACCGTCATAGGACATATTGGTGAATTGACAAGTTGTTGTATCAATATCAGTATGTTTTCTTTCAAGCTTGGGCTTTTGAATTTGGAGTGCGCCGGGTGCGAGCTCAAGTGTGCTTTGCGAGGGCTTCGTCGTTGTCTGCCCAAGGTGCTAGCCAGGGCCAGTGAGGGAGCATGCCACGGGTCTATCGTGGTTTCTGGTCTCGAATTCAATACTCGGCTGGGCATTGTCCGCACATCGTACACGCAATACGTAGTTCGTGAGTAGAGGTGTGTCGACAGGCCTTTGTAATTAGCCTACTAGATCTCCTCAGTATATCTTGCGCAATGAACAATATCACAATGTTTCCTGATATAACCAATGGAGTTGTGCTATAAATCAGAGCGTGTTATACATCGAGCTTGCGATATGCATGTTGCGGAGCAGCGCAAATGTCAATGTGATAGTACACTAAACTCGATCGGGAAGGCATATTTTCCCCATCCCGTGACTTTCGCCGCTCCGGCCAAACTCCCGTAGTTATCGGAACTCATTCAACAAATCCCAGATCCAATCCGACCTCGAAACCCCAGTCGCTTGCCCCCGGCACAATAATCCCACCATGTCTATGTTCAGGAACAAGAAGCTCGACCTCGGCGGCTTCATCAACGGCAAGATCATCCGTGACCACACCAAGCGGAGAGTCTTCGAGGCGAACGAAGTCGAACGGTATGAAGCCCTACTGCACTAACTACTCTCTCGCCGACCGGCCTCGTCAGGCTAGACTTGCGCCCTCATTTCCCTTCTGAATCCGATCTGGAAATCAACAATCGCTAATGCATCTCCCGCTGTACAGTCAAGCTCTCCGCTATGTGATCCGCAACACCACTCTCCCCCAGCGTGCCCGTGCTCAGGCGCAATTGCAGCTGGCCCAGATGCACGCTTACACCCGGTCCACCCAGATCAGGAACCGTTGTGTAGCGGGTGGTGTCGCTCGATCCGTCATCCGGGACTTCCGACTTGGAAGAGTGAGCTCCCCTTCCCGCTCTTTTTTTTTATTTCGACAGAAGGCATAGAGTTAGCTAACGGGAGGGACTTTTCTCGTCTGGCAGTACCAATTCCGTGAACAAGCGTTGGCCGGCGAGCTTCCCGGCGTGAGAAAGGCCAGTTGGTAGACTTGGTGTTGTTTGTGTGGTCGTCTGCGACACCCTCCCGGTTTCTATGTGCATTTGACAAGCTTCTCTGGGTTGGTTCGGTGCTTTCCTGATGGCGTTTCTTTTTGTGTGTGTTCCTTCTTCCCGATCTTCCCTGGGGAAGGAGATGTACTATATGTTATGATGGGTATTGATCGAGAATATAAAACCAGCGATCTTTATGGGAAGTTGAATTCGTGACTGCTGAGGGGGGTGGATAGACTTGGTGCACTTTGGGGGGCATGTGCTTGCTTCTCTCTGGTGACGAATACCTTGGAATCTGATGGCTGTCGGAGTTGAGTCTGTCTGTACTAGCATCGTTGGGGTCTTGCAGCTGAAGACCACCGGAGTGCATTTCTCACTTCATGGTCACTCTGCTCTTCCTCTGCCGCTTGCTCTAGTGTGCATGAGACATGAGAACAGGACTATTGGCAGAGAATCCGAATCTTCATGAACGATGTTCTGCTCCGTTCCTCGAGAGGACACAGCCTGAAGCAGCTTCAAGGCTGCTACTGACCGGACTCTCACCTTCCCATTCACTGCAGTGCACACAGCAAACGGAGCTTCAGTTCTGGATTCACAGCGGGAAGCTGCATCTCAGCATCAACTTTCCCCAATCCGCCGCCTCTCTTCCACTGTCTTCTATCTCTTTGCTTCTTGTCCTGTCTCACTTCTGCTTCACAGCAATAACGACTACTGGCTCCGTCTACCCCACATTGTTGAAGATGTTCGTCTACCGCCGCGAAGATCTTCCCGCAGACCCGGTGTTTCCAGCGGACCTGACAAAACTGGGGTAGCTCTCATGGCATATTCCATCATGGAGTACCCATCATGCTGAGAAAGGAATACAGGTACTTCGTGACCGATCAGGACCAGATCCGCAAGATCTCGGACCCAACACAGGAATTCCAGTACAAGATCAACCGCAATGGCCGCTGGAATGATGTCCAGAGAGAAGCTATGAACGGTAGGTCTGACTAGCTATCTGCACCAAAGCCTCGACTACTCCTGCTCTGTCCCTGCTCTGTCCCTTCTCTACTCTAACAGTCTTGCTTGTTCACCAAGAATGCATCCGCAAGATCGTCAGCTCCCGCCTGCGCGACCTCGGCCTCGTCAATCTCCACCTCCCGCTCCGTGCCAAAACCAAGGAGGCCCATGTCCCGATCATGGTGTCGAGGAACCTGTCCACTGCCTCGCACATCATCGTGGTGTTCGGCGAGCCCATCCAGGACCTGGGCATCTGGGCCTACCGCAGCGTTGGCTGTGACGGGGTTGACGCCGGCTCCCTCGTGTCCTTTGCGAGGGCCGTGCTGCGTCAGGGCCGGGCTGATAGCAATAGTGGCAGTGGTGACAGTGACAATGATGATTCAACAACAAACATGCCCAACACCGCGCTGGTGCTGGCCAACACCGGCCAACTCGTCTGGCACTGTGCCTCCGGTCAAGCGATCACGCTGGTCCGTTGGCAGCACATGCCCCGTGCCTCGGCCGTGGACCCGCCCCCCGAGATGTCGCCCCGCAACCAGATCCCCGGCCACGAGTACTGGCAGAGACATGTCAACCGTGTGTTCGAGGACATCCTGTCCGCGCGGGGTCGGCTGGTGCGCCCGGATGCGCGAATCAGTATTGTGGGGGCCTCGGAGGGCGGACTGGGTGCGCTTCGGTACTTGAATAGGAACTGTGAGTGTTGACCGTATCTTACTGGTTGTCCGTTCCTGGTGATGGTTCAAGCGACAAAACTGACGTACGATGGAACAGGGAGCTCCTGGAGACCATTCATCTCTGCGATCTGTCTCGCCAATCCTCTTCAGATGGCCAGGGTTGAGTTTGGAAGCGACTACGAGAATGCCGCCCTGGTGGATCCGACCTCCTTCGCGGCCTTTGTGGCGTCACGCTGCCGTGGATATCTGCTGTCGGATCAGCCGCTGGGGGTCCCGGTCGAGGCAATGCTTGATAGCGGGTGTAATTGCTACGCTTCGGGCGAGGCATTGAACTCGGAGTGTATCATGCCGAAGGCGTGGAGACATGCGCTGCGGTGGCTGAAACAGGCTTTTGCGGACCCAGCTTACGGAGAGGCGAGGTTGGAGATTATGCACGTTGACGGTGATGAGCTGGAGGATGCGGTGGATGCTGAGGTAGACGAAGAGGGAAGGCGCTTCTAGGTTGAGCTGTCTACTTTGTTCTTGTGATCCAGCCTTTTCGGTGGACGAGCACGCTTGCTTAAACTTGACGTACTTGTCTTGTAGCATAGATAGCTTCAATGGTCAGTCCGGACCTCTACTAAGTCATAAGCGAGATTAGTAGTATGTCGAGGTTTAGACACTACCTAGTAGCTCTAATCCATTGCCCAAGTCGGCTCTATATGCTAGATGGTTAGAGCACGAGGCAAGACCACAATCTGGCCAGAAGTGTCTTCGAGGCTACAGCAACTCAGCCCAATTGATATCCACAGCGTCTTCAAGAATTGACGTATACACTACCCATGAGCTACAATGCTCACAAAATACACCGAAACTACCCATACATACCAACGAAACTTGTAATGCTACATTCATCGTCATAATCATACAAGTGATGACTACAGTACAAACTACGCCTTTGCATCCTGTTTATCCAGATCCACTTCCTTCTCCTTCTCCTCCCACCTTTCCCTCACCCTCCTCCTCACCCCACCATTCACCCCTCTCCCCCAAATCTCCTCCTTGACTTCCGTACCACCACCAGCAGCAGCAGCAGCAACATCATCCCCATCCCCCTCACCACCCTTACCACCCTTACCGCTGCCACCAACCTCCTCCCTCCCCACCACAACCTTCACCTCCCGCACCCGCTGCTCCCTCCCCCTCGCCACGCGCACCTTCCGGAGGTAAATCGCATAAATCCCCGCCTCGACCGCGCCCACCCCCAGCGCCGCCCCCATCGCCGCCAACACCTTGCCCCCGGCCCCGATCCCCCCGGCCCCACTACTGGCAGCCGGGGCCCAAACATGCAGGGCCCAGAACACACTGAACCCGGTAATCAACACCGACAGGAAGACATTCAGGACCAGCGAGGGGGTGATCGTCTCTTTCTCCGGTGGGGCATGTTTCTCGTGTAATGCAGAGAGGAGGGGCGTGCTGGATGTGAAGACGGGGTTGATGGTTCCGGGTGTGGAGGAGAAGGAAGACTGGAAATTGGGGTGGGGGTTGGCGCCGGTCATGCGGTTGTAGGCGTCTGCTTCGGCGGCGGCGAGGAGACGCGCTTTGTGGGCGAGGTATTCTTTTGTCTGTTTGCGGTGGGTGTTAGTTTTGAGGGAAAGAGTAGAAATGGGGGAACTCACCGGCTCGGGTTTGGGCGGCGGCGGAGGGACGTGGACCTTCGTGCCGCGGAGGAGGGTGTTCAGGGTTCGGTTGCGCCGGGGGTCAGATTCTGGATGGGCGTTTGCATTCGAGGAGGCATCTTGAGAAGCGGGGGGCGGGTTCGACCGGAAGTATCTTGCTACTTGGATCAATTGGGCGTGGGAAATGGGGTCGGCGAGCTGGAGCGCGGAGGGGAGGGCGAGGGTGTGGCGGGCGGAGGCCGGGATGGCCTCGTAGGCGGCGAGGATGGGCTCGGTGGTGGTTAGATTGACCATTTTGGTTTTTGCAGTGATTCAGTAGTAGTGCATTGTGGTGCTTATTTGTTGTTTGAGGTGTGTCAGAGGGGGAGGATGTTGGTTCATGAGGCTGCGATTGTTGTTTAGAGGAAGATGTTTGGAGTAGTTACTGTGGTGTAGTTCCGCCGCAGCTCCGCATACTCACTCGTAGCTTAACAACCGGCAGAAACCAGATCCCAGAAACCCAGGGCCACCATTCCCAAACAAGCAACCACCTTCCTCTCCGGTCCGATTCCCTCCCCCACTTTAACCTAACTTATCCGCAGCTTCATATCATTTCATTTCAATCCGGATACCATCTTCTGCGCCGCTCCCCTCAAGCTCCTCCCCTCATTCTCTTGCCAACAATCCCCAATCCCCAACACCCACCCCCGACTCCCAAACCAAAATGACAGACTCAAAACCCGCGTACGCCTCCCCCAAACCCTCAACCCGCAACCCCCAAGAACTAAACATCCCAAAAAAAAGCCCCCCAACAAA